TGAAAAACGGCGTGGATGTCTCAACCCAGATGTCTAAACAGCTCTCCCTTTTAGGTAAGAACTGCCTTTGGTAGATGTCTGTGATATTCCCATCCAAATCAAGCTGAGATTCCAGGAATGGAAATGAGAGGTGTAACTTGTTTCTAAGTCAGGCAGGTTAGGCATGAACAGATGGCTCCCCAAATTTCCCTGTTATCTGTGCTCACACAGGTCTTTTTGGGTTTTCTGAGAGCAATGATGAGAAGTTGTCACTCGGGCCCAGCTCACCCTCAGTGCATTTCAGCTGTGCCAGGCCTTTCTGGATGTATGATCAGAGCTGCTGGCTGCCCAGGGGCATGGCAGCCCTAACACTCTCAATAGCCCCGTGAAGGAAATGGGGAAGTGAGGGGGTCTCTGGCTGAGCAGTCCACCCTGAGCACTGTCCTTTCTGCAGCCAATGGGAGTGAACTCCACATCGGCAGCGTTCGATATGAAGACACAGGGGCGTACACCTGCATTGCCAAAAATGAAGTGGGTGTGGATGAAGATATCTCCTCCCTCTTCATTGAAGACTCGGCTAGAAAGACCCGTGAGTCGACACTTGCCTTTATGCTTCTCACTGAGCTGGCTGGGAGGTACTGGGTAGCAAGGGAGGGCACCGATTGCCCAGGGCCACAGCTGCCAACCATGAGCCCATGAAGACAGGGGTAAGCCTCATATCCATCCTTCTGTGCATAAAGCTAGAATTGGAGGGCACCCAGAGGTGAGCATACCTTCCCTAGCAACATAGACTACTCTGGAAACAGACAGGGAAACTCCCTGGACAGCAGACAGAGCCCAGGAACACAAGGAAACCCAAATATTTGAGTCCCAGCTCCGTTTTTTACTTGCTGTATGCTCTGAACCTCTCCCCCTCATCCACAAAATCTGTTATACTATCCACTGTGGTACTGACACCCCCCAGCAGCCCAGAACCTGGGCCGCTGTGTGCACAATGGTGTGCACACATGCACACCGCACACGGTTGGGAGTGTGGTAGCCTTTATACTAGGGATCTGGCCTGTTGCTGTGCTAAATGTGCTCTCCTCATAACCACGCTCCCCAGGTAGGCTTGCAGTTGTGATTTCGTGGACGTGGGTGTTGATCATGGTCAGAGACTCCAAGCCAAACCACTTTCAACAAAGCAGATAAGCAGAAGTATTTCACGTGGTCATCCTAGGAGAGTCCTAGTTGAAAGTCACTTCTCCTGATGGTGGTCCAGGAAATCTGGAAGAGATGTTGCTTACTCTTTTGATCATCCATAGAATGTGGGAAATCCCATTGGCTTCTGTGGTCCTAGGGCATGATTTCAAAGATTCGCTGAGGAATCAAAAGGGATTTGTTTTGAAAGCATTTGTTCATGTCCAGAGCTCCCCACAAGGTACTGTTCCCAGGGCAGTGAGTGGTGCAGATTCTGTAAGTGATGGACTAGGTACCAGGATCTTCATAAATGGAATCACTAAAGGTTTAGACACTGCTTTCTTCTTTTTCCTTCCCTAAATCACATTCCTGCTTTCCTCATTCTCTGCTGCTGCAGTTGCAAACATCCTGTGGCGAGAGGAAGGTACCAAGCTTCGTTGTTCTGCGTCATGCCTGTGATCATGCGTGTGTGTGGTTCTGTGACAGGCCATCTTTCTGTGAACTGCCATCAGCTTTCCCACACACAAGGCAGCCGTACAAGGAGGGCCCATGTGCCACATCAGATGGTAGCAGGCAGTCAATGTCAAATTCCAGTGGCCTATGCATTGAATCAAATTTAAAACATACTCATGTCTTTAATGAGAAATTTTTTAATGCAAAGCTTTCATTAAAAGTGGCTGTAACGTCTGCTGAAGCAGAACAGTTGGCAGGGTTCCTGGTCAGATCTGGGCCTTAAACTTTTTTCTGGTAGCTGACTGGTGTTGGGTTTAGTGCTTTGCTTATCTTGTGTGGTTTAAGAAAGTCAAAGTTGTAGATCCCTACTGGATAGTAGCTGTACCTTAAATATGCTTTGATTGAGGAAATGCTGAGGAAAAAACCTGCCATGATTTCTGTCAATGTTTATTTTTAAATGTATCTATTTTCAGAAACATATTTATCAAACCTTTAGTAAGTTGAGCCATATGAAATTGCTATTTTTGTGCATCAAAAATGGTCTAATATTGACAATTTCATATGGTTCAAAATATAGTGGGCATGTGTGGGAGCTGGTGGCAGAGCCTGAGTCACTGTGTGGATGCAGGTGCATGCCCGGGTCCCAGTCCCCACAGTGTCTCCACAACCAGATCTGAGTCCAAATCCCCTTGTGGCAACTGATTCTCCAGCTCAGTGGGCAGCAGGAGGTACCATGTGATTGACAGGTTAAGCACAAAATCTCCCTGTTTGAAAACTAAGACATTTCCCATCTCATTTTTTCCTCAAGAACTTCACACGGTGTTACCTACAGCCTGGCGTACACATGCAGACACATACTCAGAACAATTTCTTGAACGTCAGGCGCTAAAGCCGACATGATAAGTCTAGGAACAGAACAAAAGCAGATCCCAGAAAATGAGGAACTGCTGTCAATAGCAACATCACTGATCATGCAGGCCTCAGGGCACATTCAAGTCTCCGCAGGAGAAATGAGATGATGAGGGCAGACAAAAGCAGAAACGGCTCCTTCCGGCCCCCTTGGCAGAAGCTACAGTCAGACAGAACCTTCCAGGGAGCCGGATCATGAGGCTGGGTATCCCGCGAAGTCAATTACTTGTTGAATGACTGTTTGTTGAGCCTCATTTTCCAGGGCCGACCATGAGCAAGGTCAAGGCACTGCTGTGCCAGCCCAGAATGTAGCTACAGCCACATACCCCATATGGACTCTATTATGCTTTCAATCTTATGTTGGTTCTTCCAGCTACCGATTTTCCAAGCAGCCCTGGGAGGCTGTCCCTGGAGTCTGTGGCAGTGTACAGCAGAGAAGTGCCTGTTGTGGGTGAGATAGATGGGGTCAGAGCAGGTGTGTGCTGGAGTGCTGGCTCCAAACACGGAGATGCTGTGGAGCTAAGACCAGACTCTTGGCAGGCGGTGAGCTTCATCTGGCTATCAAGAAACAGGCTGCCCAGCACCCCAGATTCCTCAGGGAGTGCTTATGAAGAGCTAGCTGGGTACTCCCTGGTATTGGCAGCTGGGTTCCAGCTGCTCCTGGTGGTAGGAGCCCTCCTGCCCGGAGCCTGTCTTGGCACAGACCCCAGAGGGGCTGAGGTTTATCATAGAGTCAGGCCCTTGTTCAATAGCAAGGGCCACTCGCATTAGTGCCTCTGTGTTGCCAAGGACCCAAGGTCCAGAAAACTACTTGCAGAGTTATTGCAAAGAAGTGAAACAGTGATTCCTGTTGCATTGTTTTCTAACTCACTAAAAACTTGCCCAGATAGTCCATTAACCCAGCGTACCAGTTTTCTCAGCATGCTAAGAAAAAAAAAAAAAAAAAAGGCAAGCTAGAAAAGAGATTTTTTCACATATTTAATTACCCTAGAATTCATAGAGATCATAATGTTCTAGATTTAAAAGAAATGAAGAAAGGAAGTGAAAGGGGAGAGGGAAATGAGAGGGAGTCAGGAGGAAACAGGAAGGGAGAAGGAAAGAGGGAAGGAGAGCTCTGGACTTTACATATCTTTGTACCTTGCTCCCCCTTTATAGAGACAGAACGAGTGACAGAGGCAAGAAGGCAGGCCCTATGGTCTAGCCCCAGCTCTGGCACAGAGACAAGTGGCCTCAGCCAAGCCCTGTTCCCTCCTTGGACCACTCAGTTTGTCTTTAAAATAAGGAGGCTGAACTAGCTGGTCCCCAAGGCCCCTTTTTGGCCAGTTTGCATGGACCTTCTCCCCAGACAGCCACAGCCATGGGCCGGGGTTGGGGGAGGCAGGGGGGCATGACCAGGGTGTAGGCTCTGCTGCCTGGCATGGGGTGCCACAGATAAATGACAAGGGTTGAGGGGCAGAAGTGACAGTGAGCTATCTGGAAAGATGGGTTGGCCAGCGCAGCCAGGGTGGAGTTTGGGCAATGGGCAGCATTCTTAGGACTTCACATTCTAGGAAGTGACACTACACATACATGGGTTTAAAAAATAAAATGAATTTATTATTACAGGCAGTGGCTCGCGCCTGTAATCCCAGCACTTTGGGAGGCCAAGGCAGGTGGATCACCTGAGGTCAGGAGTTCAAGACCAGTCTGACCAACATAGAGAAACCCCGTCTCTACTAAAAATACAAAATTAGCTGGGCGTGGTGGCACATGCCTCAAGGAGGCTGAGGCAGGAGAATCGCTTGAACCCGGGAGGTGAAGGTTGCAGTGAGCTGAGATCACACCATTGCATTCCAGCCTGGGCAACGAGAGCAAAACTCCGTCTCAAACAAATGAAAGCCTTCACTACTTTGGCATCCACTGATCCATTCTGATGTGACTAGTATATAAAATAAACAATCAAGGGAGGTTTTCCCGTTCAGAACAGGAAAGGTCAAACGTATGTCAAAGCCAAGGCTATCTTTTATCTGAAAACCTGTAATGAACTCTAGATGACTTAGGGTAGCTGTACATAGCCTGTGACATGTTTTACTGATTCATAGTCCTGGGGACCCTTTCTCCACCCATCCAACCAAGAGCTGGCTGCTCATTCTACCCCACCCCAACCAGGAATAGCATCTCATGCCTGCACCAGATGCATCCACATGGCTGGCTTCTTGTGCGTTCAATGCTGCGCGTGACCCTGCCTAGGAGCCCACTGCTTGTTCTTGTGTGTTCAATGCTGCGTGTGACCCAGATCCATCCACATGGCCAGTTTCTTGTGTGTTCAATACTGCGTGTGACCCAGATGCATCCACATGGCCGGTTTCTTGTGTGTTCAATGCTGCGTGTGACCCAGATCCATCCACATGGCCGGTTTCTTGTGTGTTTGATGCTGTGTGTGACCCTGCCTGGGGTCCGACTGCTTGGAGGAGCATGCTCATTCCATTTGCTTCTCCCAGGCCTCAGCGTGGGAAACATGTTCTACGTCTTCTCCGACGACGGCATCATTGTCATCCATCCTGTGGACTGTGAGATCCAGAGGCACCTGAAACCCACAGAGAAGATTTTCATGAGCTATGTAAGTATCTGTGCCTGGGGCAGCTTCTACATCATACACACGCAAAATCCTAAAAGTCCATCTTTAACCATGCATGCCATTTAATTTCTAAAATTCCATTTGCTATATGTGGTGTAGTTCCAAATTATTTCCAAGGCAAAGAGGGGACTAGATGAGGCCAATAATTTAAAACCCTCATTCCTTCATCCAGCAGCCACTTCTCTGCACTGAGCCTCTGAAGCCCAGGCAGTGTACAAATGGGTTCCTGGCCTCCAGAAATTCACAAACGATGAAGACAGCAATACGAACAGACAGTTGCCAAACAGGTGTTTTCTCAGTGGCCTTCAGGGAACTAAGGCCAGGTAGAAAATAATGATGGAACATTCAGGGCAGAGGCAGGAGAGAGGATTGCTATGGCGGATCCAGGAAAGCCCTTCCAGGATAGTCTTAAGACCCAGCTGTCAGGAGGCTGCCCCCAGGGCTGTGGTCCCCACACTAGGCCTCTGTTCCTCTGGCTTGTTTCCCAGTTGACCTTGTGGGATATCCTGAGCTCCTTGAGGATAGGACTATCATGTTGAATCCCAAAGGGTCATCTTGGTCCCCCATATGCCTTCCCCTTGGAGGATATAGACAGTATGTCCTTAGTTGTGCGCAATGAAATAAGTGTGCACAATTCACTCAGTGGATAGTTATGGGCTTGGAGCCCATGGAGGAAGTGGGCTTGGCCCAGGCAAGTTCCTAAAGCATTGCTGTGCTGGCTATTGGTATATCTCAGGCTGTTCCATTTCTCACATTTGTGGCTTTGGGAAAAGCTATTTTCCAGGCTATTTCATTTGAGTTAATTATTTTTAAGAAGTGTTATTTCCCATCAATGTTCCTTCCATATATTAATAACAGCTGTGAAGCCAGTTAGAAAGAGTTCTAGCAATTAGGTTTAAATAATTGCACTCCATCACACTGGCACAAATTTCTCATATATTTGTCATAACCTAACTTGTAACTTGGAGGGAATCTCTCAAATCCTAACCAGGATTAAGTTTTCCTGGATAAGAAGCTAGACACAAGACACAGTAAGAGAGGTCCTAAAGGTGTTTCAGGCAACGTAAGACTGGTGAGCTGGGGAACAATCCCAAAGAACGATTTTTGCATCTAGAAAATGCCCAAACACCTAACAAGGGTTACAAAGGGCCAAGTCTCTTCCTGAAGGGCTGGTGAGTAGGAGGTTGATGCATCCCATGTCAGGCCTCTCTGCTGGCTGAGATGTACACTTTTCCAGAAGGAAGCAGCATGGTGTCACAGATTAAGGCATAGGCTTCAGAGTGAGGCAGACGTGGGTTCAAAACCCACCGCTATAGACTAAGTAGCTTTAGAAAAGTTACCCAGCCTTTCTAAGCTGCAGATGTCTCATATGCATATTGGGGTTATATAAGGGTTAAATATGAGAACAAGAGTAAATGGAGAGAGACTGGTCTCAAAACTATTGCAGTCACCTAGGAAAGAAATGAGGGTGGCATGAGAGAAAGTGGGAGCCGGAGAAGAAGGTTCTGAGATAAAGACAGATCTGGGTACCACCAGTGTCTGAGTGTTGGCCAAAGGGCATATGCAAGTAATTTGAGATAGGCATCTAGAACGGAACCCAGGGGTCACCAACAGTTCAGGGATAGACTAAGAGGAACCACAGAAAAGACTGAGACAGAGTTGGGCCACTGTCATAAGGAAAACCATGATACATGTCATTTAAGACAAGGGAGAAAAAGGTCCCCTTTTTCACTCATTTATTTCGTCAACAAATATATTTTAAGCACCGACTCTGTGCCAGGCACTGTACTAGGTGCTAAGCATATAGCAGTGAACCAAAGACCCTGCCCTCAAGGAACTTACAATCTAGTGAAGGAGGAAAGACTGTGCCCAGGTAGATGAATGCAGAAAGTCAAGTGGTAAGTGCAAAATGCAGCCGGTAAGAGTAAGGGGTACAAGGAGGGCTGAGATAGACGAGTTCAGAGAAGGCCTCCCAGAAAGGTGACACTAAGCAGAGGCCTGAAGGAAATGAGAGAATAAACCCTGTAGATACCTGGGGAAGAACATTCCAAACAAAAGGAACAGCCAAGGCAAAGGCCCTGGGCAGGAGAGCAGCATGATTGAGGAGTGGTGAGCATGCCCATGGCGTGGAGTCAGATGGGTAAGAGAGAAAACAAAACCGAATGAAGACAGCCTTGTAGGAAAGACTTGGGATTTTATTCTGAGCAAGAAAGAATGTTATTGGGAGTGGAGGGGAAGTTGAGAAAGAGGAGTCACATGATCTGACTTGAATTTTACGATGATCCCTGTGGCTGCTGTGTCAGGAACAGGTTGGGAGGCTTGGGTAGAATCCAGGAGCATATCCGGATGCTATAGCAGTCACCTGAGTGGCAGTAATGTGGTTTGAGCCAGGTTGATGGAGCAGAAATGATCAGAGCCTATTTCTGGATATATTTTGAAGGTAAAGCTGGAATGACTTGTGAGACATTGGTTGGGGCCTACATTAGAGGCATCAAAGATGGCCTCACTTCACTAGATTGTAAGTTTTTGGCCTATGGAAGTAAAACAGCAGAACTGCCAGGTTTTCCACAGAATGAGCAGGATTAGGAAGTAAAATTAAAGAGCTGATTTTGAACGTCTAAGTTTAAGTTGCACATTACACAACCAAGTGGAGTTAGGCAGTTTGTTATTCAAGTCGAGTTCAGGGAGGAGGCCTGAGCCAAAGGTAGGAATTGGGAGTTGTGAGCACATAGACTGTATTTAAACCACAGGTTTTAATGAGATTAACAAGGAGGTGGATTTTAGAGAAGAAAGAAACTTAGGCGTGAACCCTGGGCACATCAGCATGTAGGGATCAGCACACCGAGCAGTCCAGCAACAGAGGATCAGCTGCTGAGGGAGGATAGATGGCAGGGAACAGAGGAAGAGTCAACACAGGTTTAATGTAATGAGTAAGGAATCCAAACTGACCTTGGGGAGAACAACGTCAGCTCTGAGGACTAAAGCCAGAGGGTTAAGGAGCATGCGAGAGGTGAGGAAGTAGAGAAAGAATGTAGGCAACTCTTTCAGAAGTTTGGCCATAAACAGAGGTTTTTTAAATGAGGATGAGGACAGGGAGAAGGTAGTGTACAGAGTAGAAGAACCTGGATCTGGAAGCTGCTAACTGAGAGGGTGCAAAGGGAGTTTTAGCCCTGAAAGTTGAAAGGAGTGTTAAGTGAGAAGTTGGTGAGGTGGGAGGGCTTGGGTGCCCTGTTCGGAGGATCCAAAGGATTCTAAGAGTGGGGGAAGGCTCAGGGGAGAGGGTATGCAGAGATGTTGAAGGGAAAGGGCGATTAAGAAGACTCATGACAGCCTATATCCCCTTTGCAGGAAGAGATCTGTCCTCAAAGAGAACAAAATGCAACCCAGCCCTGCCAGTGGGCGTCTGCAGTCAACATCCGGAACCGGTACATCTACGTGGCCCAGCCAGCACTGAGCAGAGTCCTTGTGGTCGACATCCAAGCCCAGAAAGTCCTGCAGGTACACTTCTTTAATACAGTGAAGAAAAATTCCAATTCTGGGGCACAGCCTGCCACATTCTTCTTTGCTTCCTGCTCACTCCCCAGCTCCTATGCCAGGTGGTCAGACTGAAGGGATAAAAGATTCATGTGTAATTATTCATTAAGTATTTATTGTCTGCTATGTAGGGAAACAGCCATGAATGAGCAATAATGTCCCTAGAACTCATATTCTAGCTGGGGAGCCGACCATAAATCAGAATTTGAGAGAACTATAAGTAATAAGGGCTATGAAAAACCCGGTTCAAAGCAAAAGGGGAACAGGAAGACTATTTTCAGTTGGCCTTCTCCCTCGAGATGAATGAAATGCCAAGTAGGACCGAGACTCTGAGAGCAGGCACAGTGATGAGGGGTAGGGTCGACTCACTCAGGGCCTCGAACAAAGCCCAAAGTAAGGACATTTCAGTTAAGAAAGTCACAGAAGGGCTTTCATCAAGGGATTGATCCAATCTGACTTATATCTTTAAAGAATCAACCTGGTGGCTGTGTTAAAAACAAACGGGCCAGGTGCTGTGGCTCACGCCTGTAATCCCAACACATTGTGAGGGCAGGAGTTTAAGACTGGCCTAGCCAACATGGTGAACCTCCATCTCTACTAAAAATACAAAAAAAATTAGCCAAGTATGGTTGCAGGCCCCTGTAATCCCAGCTACTTGGGAGGCTGAGGCAGGAGAATTGCTTGAACCCGGAAGGTGGTGGTTGCAGTGAGCCGAGATCATGCCACTGCACTCCAGCCTATGTGACAGAGCAAGATCTGGTCTGATATAATCCAGGCAAGAGATGACAACAGCAGTCAACAGCAGTGGGGGTGGTGAGAAATGATCCATTTCTGGACATATTTTAAACGGGAAGCCTGAAAGATTTTCTGATAGATTGAATATAAGGCTTGAGAGAAAAAGGATTCAAGTTAGAGGTGTCTTTTAAGCAACTGTAGAAGGGTGATGCCTTTTACAGTGGATGGTAGACTAAATAATAGCCCTCAAAATGTCCACATCTTAATCTGCAGAACCTGTGGATGTCACCTTAGATTGTAGATGTGTTTAAATTGAGGATTTTTAAATGAGATTATCCTGGATTACCTGGATGGACCCTAAATGCAATCATAAATGTCCTCATAAGAGGGAGGTAAAGAAAAATTTGAGTGCATAGGTTAAAAAGGCAATGTGAGAACTGAAACAAGATGCTGTATTGCTAGCTTTGAAGATGGGAGGAAGGGGCCAGAAGCCAAGGGATAAAGGAAATGCAGCTCTGGAGACTGGAAAAAAGGCATGGAAACATACTCTGCCATAGAGCCTCTAGAAGGGGCACCAGTTTATATTGATTTTGGCTTTCTGGTCTCCAGAGCTGTAAGAGAATAAATGTGTGTTGATTAAAGCCATCAAATCTCCAGTGACTGGTTTCTGCAGCGGTATG